AACCCGAAGCGGCGGCCGCCGCAGCCTCGGGACGCAGGGCGAGCCGTCTGCCTGGGAGCAAGCCGACTCCAGCGTGCGGTCAGGCGCCTGTCCGCCCGGTGCCACCGCCGCCGCTCCAGTGCGCACGACCAGGTACCTCGAGCGCGGGCCGTCGCAGTAGATGCGGCCCGAGCACTTTTAACCCGGCGGGAGGGCAGGAGAGCTGCGCCGCCGACAGCGGAGCGAGCCGCGCCAGGAGCCGCGCAGACACGCAGAGAGCAGGGACTGCCTCCCGCCACCGCCCGGCCGCTATGGATCTATTCGACTTTTTCAGGGACTGGGACTTGGAGCAGCAGTGGTAGGTGTTTAAATTTGCCTTCTCTTTGGATGAGCGGGTCTCCCCGGTATGATCTGGGCTTTTCGCCTTTGTTAAGAGAAGCCAGAGCTGGAGTTAGGGGCGCCCCGGACGCCACTTTGCTCCCAGACCCCTCTGACTCCCGCTTCAGTGACCCCTTGGTCGGGTGCTAGCATGGGGGAGGTGCGAGAAAGGGAAGGATGCGGGCAAAAGCATACATTTGCGCTCCAAGTCCAAAGAGTTGCATCTGGTCCTTGGCAGATTTGGTGCCACACACCCGCATGACCTCCGCTGGGCTTTTTTTCGCCAGCGGCACACTGGGTCGGTTCCAGTCTGAAATGCTTTAACTTTCCAATTGCCTAGAGCCTGCAGCCAGGGGCGGAGGGAAGGCGACAGCCAGGTGCCAGAGGCCACCATCCCGTGCCTACATGGCCACCGCCCGAACTGTCGAACTGTCGCAACCTCCATCCCCACTCGCAAGGCATAGACAGAAATCCTTCCCTAAAGCCTATCCAACCCAAGTTCTTTGCACTTGGAGCAGCGTCTCCGGGGGTCACTGAGCTAGGGAGGGACCTTGGGTTCAGTTGCCTTCAGCGCTTGGCTTTCAAGAATAGAGCTTTTTGAAGTTGGCCCCCAAAGTACGCAGCTCCGAAGTCAATGCACATTAATTAGTGTCTGGACCCCTTTTGGCTTCCCAGTGTGAGGCAGCCTTAGGTTTGTGTAAAGGACACAGCTATAATTGCAAGGTTTAGTCTGCATTTAACAAAATATCCTAAAGTTGCTGCGTAGGTATCTTAAAGATGGTACAGTGGTGCCTGAAGAACCAGAAAGTTGCTACTCTGTGTTATGTGAGGGTGCGCATGCATAAATACTCATATGCCTGTCTAATAACTTTATAAGAGCTTCACCTTGTGCTACAAACCTTACCAGCTTTTATTTTTCACTACATTTTAACATGTCAGTTGCACCCCTCCCAACCCCAAGACTTTAAGTGAGGACATGGTGACACGGATCTACAAAGGCACTCTTGGTTATTGCCCTTCTAAGTGTAGTGAGAATTATCTATGTTGCTCACCACAGTTTGAAATCTTTTGCAATGTTCAAACTACTAGCTGTTGGCTGTGAATACTGTGTATTTTTACAAGAATTTCCCTTGTCGGTGTAATATTTTAGGCAATTTCCTTCTTTAAAAAAGGGTCATATGCTTGGCCAATAGCTCCATTATACCATTCATGACTGCTTTGGTTGCAAACCCAACACAGTCAGAACTTACATTTTCTTTTATAACGATTCTAAATAAATCTTGAAACATATCAATATTAATCTGTAAGGCATTTTCAAAACCATATGGTGTTTTATCAGCTGTGCTGAAAGCATGCTATGTTTAGAGTCTATTATTAATTTTTTTTAAATCTCCCTGAAATTACTACTCAATTAAATATTACGCTCCTTTATATAACCTTTACTCTGCCTCCCTAAATTATTTTGCAGACAACTGATAACTGCAGTATTATTATTTGCATATAATTTGCCTAATGTGTTGAATGGGTAACACTGTTCATTTAACAGACATTGTTATAATTGATTTCAGGGGTAGCTGAAATTTTAAACATATATAAGGCATTAGGTTTCAGAATGTACGTATATTATTGTTTTCATTTCAGTTTAATATTACTCAGGTGTAGTTGACTCTTTAAAGGGAATGTGGTCTTTTATGTTTGATTTCTGTTTGTGAGGAACCTGTGTCCCTGGTCCTCTTTTGAGAGGCTATCTATTCTTGAGGAAAATACAAAACCCTTTTTCCTCCAGATCCATAACTATATGACATCCATTCTGGTGCATGATGACAGACTTGGTCATTTGGTAGATGCGATAGAAAATACTAATGAAATAGCAAAGCATATGTGCATAAATAAACCTGCCTTCTGCCTCTGTACACATGATCTAGGATGCATCTCTGTTTATAAACATTTGTGATGTGGTTGTACTTCTTTGGTTTAAACACCTATCTAGAGAAAAGGAACACAAATGTGACCATGGTTCAGGAACTTAACAGTCTGACATTGTTCTTAAGGGAAATCTATATATCCTTCCCAACTCGTTGGACATCCAGAAAATACATATTTATTTATATGCTTACTTCCATTTTGTGAGAATAACTAGAACCTAAAAATGATGACAGATAGTACCCCAAGTCCCTAGAAAGACAGAGAGGGATAGAAAACATCCACAAAGTTAAGGAGCTCATTTGCATCAAATCTGTTCACTTGTGGAACAGTAAGCTTGGAACTGTCTCTATTGTAACCCTAGCTGTCTGACAATAAATGCACAAGGACAGCGTAAAAACAAGCTCATTTCCCTAAACATAATGAAGAAAGGCAATATATAAACAGGCATATGTATTATTTGCAAACATGTGGCTATAGTAAATCAAAAATGAGTGCCCATTTATAAACATATACATGTGTTAGGACAAATGTCCATGGAAAAGATGGGATATGAATGATGGTGTAGTGTGCAGGTATGTGCAGTGTCTGGGAGTGCTCATAGGCATAACAGAATGTATCACTGGATTTTACAAACTGCAACAGTATCTTAATGAGTCATGCTCTGGACTCCATTAAAGGGCCAAAGCTCAAGTTCTTTAAGATTCCTGGATGCATGAGTAGTGTTCACCTGAGTTGGAATTTAATATGAACCATTCTGTGAAAGGAAAGGGAGGCACAGATGCCTGTGTGTACTACAATATGTCATTTTACCTTTTTTAAAGAAGGAAAAAAAGATAGAGAAAAAAATGATATTTCATCATCTAAATCATTCCATAGACGTGTTCTTGTAAATCAAGTAAATGAATACTTGAGGTGTCTGCAGATCTTGTGGCTAAATTTGGACTTCTTTATCAGCAATGGCAAAGTCGTTAATCCCCATTTAAGAATGACAAAAAACAAATGTAAAAGACTACAAATTGTATGGGCTTCCTGTCCTTTAAGCGGCTATTTCCCTAGTACTAAGTATTGTTTTGTGACATGCCAGGTTTCTTTGTGAAGCAGGTAAAAAAGAAAGAAAGAAAGAAAGAAAGAAAGAGAGAGAGAGAAAGAAAGAAGGAAGAGAGGGAGGGAGGAAGGAAGGAAGGAAGGAAGGCAGAAAAAGGAAGAAAATAGAGACAAATTCTTGAGACCAATAAAAAGAAAACTTCCATGACAACAAGCACTAAATATTTAAAATCCTAGGAGAAATTGCTACTAAGTGATTGTGACAGTGGCCTCCTTACTGCAAAGGACTACATCAAGTGTAGATTTTATGTGATGTCACATAAGTAGCCTAATTAGAGGCAAGCTTGCAAACAGGCAGTTATACAGGAAGAGACTTAAACTCACTAAACTGTTATATAAATAGAAAGTTCAAAGGTCTGTGTGAAGCTGTCAAGGCTGAGAAGGGGCCATATGCGAGTGAGGCTTCTCTTCCTTGGATGAAGGTAGCCCTGGGGCCTGCCCCAGCACCTCACACTTTCCCAAGATTTTTTCCGACCTTGTGGGGGCTGGAGGAGGGGACTTGCTTTCCAGACAAAAGTGAACTGTTCCAGTTCCAGCCAGGCATGACCTATGTAGCACAGCAGCCCATCTGCCTCCGCCCACTCTCTGTTCCACACAGGTCCTCTGGGGCTTCTGCAGCTACAGTCCTCCAGAAGAGTGGAAAAGGACTGTTCATGGATGAGAAAGTGTGAGAAACAGAGGGACTACAACCCTTACCAAGCTAGGGCTACTAGGACACCTTTGGGGTTGGCGGTGTCTAATTTTCTTTAAGGCCCGAATGTTTCCAGGATTGTTTTCCACTGTCATCCATTTATTTTCCTCCTTTACCCACTGTGATACATTAAAAGGAGACTGCCTATAGTTTGTGATTTTGCCCAGAATCATACGCATTTTCTAATGTGATTGAGTAGTCACTCAGCCAACCATTTTGGACGCAGTTTCTTAAAGGAATGTATAGGGAGGAGAGAGTGAACGAGGTGATACTTGCTGCTGAGAAGGTCCCCTCTACAATCTCCACTTATACTCGAAAAGAATAAAACCTGTCTCACTAGATCTTAAATGTACATCTTTTGACAAGGAAGTGAATTATTTCGTGTTAGAAATCAGTTTAATTATACATGAATTGTTTGGCTAATGACTCAGTCAAACATTTAACAACTTTCAAATATACAAATCAAAACAGAAAATAACTGCCTGAAAAGTGAATTTGTCATTATACACATGAATAAGACCACAGACATTTAATCATTTTATAGACGTATATAAATTATATTGTATTTAAACATGCTGATTATTGTTGAATACACATGGCTTTAATGTGGTCAACATTTATTGTATGGCCATCATTCTTATCTAAGACTGTTTCTTATATTCATTATTTATACATATTTGACATTATTTATACATATTTAACATAATTTCAACATTTTAAAAGTCCAGTAAAATGACCATCTGTATTCTAGTCTAGAAGTTGTTTTCTAAGAACTTGTAACTCTAGGTCATACTTCAAAGAAGATGATCGCCATATACTGATTAGCTTGTCATGTAGACAAAACAGTTCAGGCAGTGATTGCATTCCCCCCCTCTAATTTTATCTTTCTTTTTGTGGTTGCTGTGAGATAAAGAAAGAGAAATCTTCAGAAAAACAACTTATTTACTGAAAATGGGAGAAATATATGTTGCTGATTAAAGAACTCAAAAATTTAACTTGGAAAACTATTTTGAGGTTGAGGTTGTGTGTGTGTGTATGTGTGTGTGTGTGTGTCTGTGTGTGTTTCATTATCACTATTATAGTTTGGGTGATCATTCTTTATTCTGGAGTCTAGACCACATGCTTCCAATATTCAACCTCACCTAATCCTTCCAACAGCTTCATGAGCTGATTGGGCCTATGGCAGTGCTTATTTTCAGAGCTCATGGCTGCTTAATGATGCAGGGGAGGTTTTCTCCTACATGGAGGCAACCTCAAGG